CCTAAATATCCAATTGTATCTACAGACTATTAATTCCTATTAATTCCTATTGCAACTTTGGAGCTTTATAACTCGAAAAGTACTCAATGAAGAAACATTTCATTATAGTGTTTTGGAAAGCTCTCGAGGTTAGCTACAAGAATATGTAATAAAAAATAGTGGATGCCATTAAAAAATTGAGGTGACCTTCATGTGACTTTCAAATAATTCTTTAAGGTCAAACCAATGGTACCGTCTTATGGTCCCCTCGAAACCAAACAACTTTTGTCTGAAAAATTTTTCTCTCCCGGGCTTGATTTTCGAAATATTCGACTGGATGGATTAAAATGGTCCACCCTGTATATATATACATATATAATTTCTACACATTATCCTCAATATTAGTAAAATTATTTCGTCAGTGCTGGACGCGACAGCGTTGGTGAATATGATTCTGCGAACGTTGTAGACTTCTGAAATTAAAACGGTAAAAAAAATTAATAAACTTGTGACTATCATCTCTACTACGACCAAGCCCTTTAATATTTCGATTTTTAAAGACTCCTAAAACTGAAAAAGTCAACAATTGATTTTTCCTTTCCAAGTCGTGTCACTTTGTCAAAAATCAATATTTATTCTCCATTGTGATAGCCACAAATTTATAGACGATTAATCACTTTCTCGCCGTTTCGGGAAGGTTCGGAATCATGGCAAGCGAAACTTTCGTTCAACGCTGCACAAAATTATTCATAACTTTATTAGTATTGAAGATACTAATGTGTAGAACTGTGTATTACTATATATATATCTGGTTAAAACATAGGCAAATGTTTGTCCAACACTTCAGAATTGCACTTCGTGCATGTCTTGTAGTTTTTTCAAAGCAAATTTCTAAAAATCATTTACAAATAACATTTCAAATGCACCCTTAATAAAAATTTCGTCCTCGCAAGACACATGTTTTTGATGATTAAGGAAACACTAAAATGTACCAGGTAGATCTCTTACGTTGAGGGTCCGGACATACGATTCCGCGTTTGGACCGCCTAGATAGAACTGATTATCGGGTTTAGCTTTTTGCGTGGCCAACCTCGCCTGCAGCTTGTTGTTACCGAAGCCAGTGGAAACCGGGCAACCTGTTTTCCGCTTGATCTCTTCTCTGATCACGCTCGCAAATTCCAACGGTGAGAGCTCAGATGCTTCGAGTACCTTCGTGCAGTCCACGTACATCTCGTCGCAGCTCACCGCCTCGATATTCAGCGTGTAGGATGCCACGGTGTCGTATAACACATAAGAGACTTCCTTGTATCTTTCAAAGTCGTACTGAATGGTCTTTAGGTTTGGACACATTTTCAGCGCCTCTCCCAGGAACATACCGTTCCTCACGCCTACCTTCCTCGCCGCGTATGAGCACGAAGCTATTTCCGACATCGATCCATGCTCCTCTTTGCCATTGTGATTCATCACATTGCCGTGCGTCACCGCTACCGGCAGGCTTTGTAATTTCGGCTTGTTTCTGATACCCACAGAGACAAAGAAGCAGTCCATATCGATGTGCATTATAACTCTCTGCTTGTTGCCTGCTTCTTTGCCAATTGTATCATCTTCGGATTCAGCTAAAGTCGCTTTCTTCGATTTTGTCAAACACTCAAGCCCGAGGAATGTACCATCGTTTTTATCTCTCAGCTCATTGACATAATCTTTGAAAGTAGTCCCCATGGTGGCGATGTAATGCAATCTCGAGTTACTGTAAAACGCCGACAGGAATCCTGCGTCCTTTGTAGACCTTGTAGTTTTTGTGCTTGAAGATTGAAGAATCACCTTGTTCTGTTTACTTGTACCTTCATTCGGTATATTGGCTGCACCGCTTTCATTGTCAATAGTATTTGTTTCAATGTTCATTCTGTCACGCACAGCTGACTCAATGTTGACGTTCTTGACATTTAATTTATATGCCAACTGAAGTGCATCAGTGTTAGAGTAAAGTAAATAATTCTGAAAGTTCAAGACTTTCCCAACTGCTATACTATCAGTGATCCATTGTGGTTTGCATATAGGGATTGGATTCTGGCTTTTTCTATATGACATTATTTTTGAATATGGTAGATTGGACGCTATAATATGAGTTGTGAACTTAGGATGTATGTAATGGTGAAATAATCCACCATGCATCATCATCAAACGTCTGAGCTCATCAGATGTTGGATCCGTATAACCATTCACAAATATTGCAATTCCTTCAAATAATTTCGACGATTCTTTGAACTCTTTGTTGACCGTACCAAGAAATTGCTCCTCTAATTTAACTTTTTTAGCAGCCATATAACCACCCTGAAATATTCATTATTGAAAAATAAGAAGTACACATTAATTAGTTATCTCAGAAAAGATCGCAATTTATACATTGAATTTAGTAAACAACTCGTAATACTAATAACAAAATGAAGAAATTAACAGCAATATATTGTTTATATATTTACCCATTCCTCAAAGCCAGTTTCTTTCCAAGCATAATTCCTTTTTCTTTTTTTTGACATGATTATAACTTTATCACAGACGCGCGACAGTTCCTTATTAATAATAATTATATATCGGAGGCACTGAAAAAGAACTCATCGGGTTATATGGTGTTACAATCGTCTTCTCAAAATTTCCTCAATTTTTAAATAAACAGTACGTATTCCTCATGAATTCTGACCTATCATAATTCGAGTCATTATTAACGATCTTAAATTTATTTTCAAACCTATTATTTATGACTGAGTTATAATAAAACTGTCAACTGTTTCCATAAACCGGTATATGAAAAATAAGAATAAGAAAAATGACGTCATCGTTTTTCTCATCATTCGCTGTGTTCAGTAAGTGGAATGCAACGGATGAGTCGCAACATGTTGGATATTCTGCTGAACGATACGTTCTTTATAACTGAACTGGTGCGATAAGTGAGAAAAAAAGCGACGCGGTAGCCAATCAACGTGCCGTTTTTTTCACGAGAACTGGAAATTTATTTTGTCGCGCGGCAAGTGTAGCCAATATACTTATGCGGATGGTCAATCACGAAATGTTATTTCCTTCATCTAAACAGTCTTGTGATTGGTGCTTCGTGAGAACGAAGCTTTCCGAGCGGAACGTCCGCGATTGGTCAGATACGCGCGCGATATAGATCCCTAGATAAATAGAGAAGCGACATTGAAGGGAATCGTCTGATTGGCTAGCTAAATCACGTGATTTATATTATTTCCACCTGCGAATGAATTATGTCAAGCCACAGCTTGACACAATTAACTTTTTCGCCAATTCCAACACATGGCCGCCTGGGCGTCATTTTCTATCGTTTTCTTTTTTATAATTCATAAACCAGCTTCTGAGAGTGGCTAACCTGCTTTGATCTCCTATGGTTCCTTTGGTCTCTTATGGTTCTGTTCTTTTTAGTTGCATAAACAAATATATTTTGTTTCGTACTAATTTATTGCTTCGGTTCAACTAAAAAGAACCAATATTCATGTCATATGCGGAGAAACAAGATGGCGTTATATCGCACCGCAGTCGCTTTTCATCTACCACAACCTAGATATCCTTTTTCGCTGAGTGGTGTTGGGGAATATTCTCTAGGTCCACCCTGGAACCACTACTGAGTAAATGAGTGAATATCTAGGACTCTACATTAGTAGTGTTTGCGTTTATAGCCCTAAGCTGTAATATCTCCTCGAACGCACCTATAATACATAATTATGTAAGCAGTTATATATATATTTTTTTAATACAGATTCTACTTCTGATAAAAATACATCTCGTCCTTTTGATATATAAACCAAAGTTTTAAAAGATACATACGTTAAAAATATATATACAGATAAAATTTTATTGCAGTTGGCAAGGAAGTTTCATACATCAGATTAACATCAAAGTAATTATCTGTGGAAAAATAAGAAGAAACGATTATCGTCACATGTCAACGACCAGCATGCCACATGATTTGAAGTCAGCTCGAATAATTAAGAAGCACAATATGGTATGTTCTTTGTTATAGTACTGTAATATTGTTTATATGTATAAATATATATATATATATATATCATAATTATATATATAATTCATATATATATATATATATATATATATATATATGAGTTAAAATATTATAATTTCTGTGTTTCAGAAAAAAGCTATAGAACTTATCATAAAAAGTAACACTAAAACAAAAAGACATAAAGAAAATCAAGTTGCAAGCAATAGCAAAATTACTTTTTACTGCAAAAGCTTTCAGAATAACAAGAAAAAAAGACGGATGTCAATCGTAGGATTTTCCAAAAGTTTAGCATTGTCGGAAATGCAAATGTATATTGCACGTCAAGACTGGAAGCATGCATTAAATTTATTTCCTAAACTTCTCGAGTATCCTAATGATTTAGAGCCCCTTGTGTGGAAATATGCATTTATAATTTTACTGCACATGAACGATCCATCACATCTCTGTGAATTTTTCGAACAATGCATTGGTACTCATAGTTCATGTAACAGTATATTGTTGGAGAAGTTGCTGTCATTACCACTTCAGGAAAATAATTGATCTTGAAATAAAATATATATTGACGTATTTATGGTAAGTTTGTATATATAGTATTTGTTACATACAAATCTTTGTACAATAATTGTTTTATGTCTGATTAGACTAACTGCTATTATGTATGTTTTTCATTTCTTGTAACAGTGCATCGATTATTTATACACAAACACATTCAGTATGAAAGCAATAAAATTATATGTTGTATACAAAGATATTTCTGTTTTTACTTGCTTTCGTATTATGTTCGAAACATCATGTTTCATTCCATATCTACCACTTTTTACATTACCAACTACTTTTATTTATAATTTGCCAATGATTCTATGAGAAAAGTAATGCGACGTTAATGGTATAACGATGACGATGATGATAATGATTTAATTATAGCATTAATATTACATATAATTATTATCAATATGTGACACACACACACGCGCACACACACATATATTAATAGTAATTATAGATAATATTAGTGCTATATATATATATACATACAGGTTGTTTAAAAAGTGCCTCGACATGGCAAGATATCTTAAAAACAAAGTTTTCGAGAGAAATGTTTGAAAAAATCTTAAAATTTCGAGAGATCCATATAACGATATTATTCTAGTATATGTCCTGCTCCCTTGGGGGGAATTTGGAAAGTTGGGGAAGAATTTTAAATAGGGAGTTAAGTAGCACTCTTGGAAAAAAAAAAGTCTAAAATATTTTTGTTTTTCACAAATATCTTTGGGGATATTCGAGATAGTTGTTTCAAATCAGAGGTGTACGATAAGTTGCGAGACGTTCAAGTACTTCATAAAAAATACATTTTTGAATAAATATTTTCTTAAAGAGTTGTCAAATTTCCGTTAAATAGAACTTTTAAAACTTGACAATTTTTGCTTCAAATATTTCTTTCACAAATACTTGGCTTACAAGATATCCTGTCGGGATATTTCGACATTCTCGGGATTCGAGATATTCCGACATTTTTTTAACATTCTGTATAATAATGACGGCTATTAATACATATTTACAAATATAGTTTGATTATTTGTTCGAACTGTTGATACTATTGTATTGTTATATAGTATAATTGCCTTGAATAATTTTTATAAAGAAAATAATTTTCATTTCAGAATAAAATTAAAAAAAATTTTTTTTAATTCATAAGGAAAAATTTACTTGTTGGAACTAATAATGTTGTATTTTTAGTTTCGTTCACGGTTTCCAATAATTTCATTTACAAGGCATGTGTTTTCATATGTGAAAACAAGCCAGTCATATCAAGACTATTAAAAAAAAAAAAAGCGATAAAAGTAACGTAATGATGTGTCGTTAAATAAAATACTCCTATTATTATTTCTAATTCGCACGCATTCCAACTGTAGAATTAAGGCTTCTGGTTACAGGCCGCGCGGTCATGTTGATCGATGACATGAGAAAGTCGAGAAAATATAAATTCAAAGTTCTTACAAAATATGTTGAAGAAAAAATCCATAAAATGATACTTTTCATCGATTACGCAGATTTAAATGATTCAGAAATCGAAACAAAGGGAAAGTTCTGGATTACTTTATATATTTTTTAAACTTTCTGTTTTAATTGAATTTCATGATTAACTCAATTAATTACAAGAAGAAATTACAAGTAGAATTACTTTACTAATTAATTAATACATTTTATTTTAAATCAATTTTTATTAATTTAGATTTATTTCTTTTTACATTTTGTAAAAATTTTGAGAATATATTTTCTCACATTCTCGATGTCATTAATGAAAATAGTCGCGGCGAGGGAACAGGAACCTTAACAGCGTTACGTATATATAGCGTACACCCAATAAAAAATTTCGACCACTAAACAAAAATACATCGATTGTAAAGCAGTGATTTCTGCAAGAAATTAATTATAACGAAGAAAGTCAAATTGTCATAGTATGCTTTACATAGATTACAACGTAAAATGTTTCTACGCGTATTTTCTTTTTAATAATTTCACGAACAATCAGGGCTGCACCATAGAGTTAACAATATTTTCGGATGATTTGATCCCTGCAAAATTGTATACTTAAACTATCATTATTCCAGGATTATAACAATGGCAAAACGTAACGCAACAAAATCCATATGCCAAACATTAACAAACTTATTAATATCGTTGCTTCGATATGTCAATATACGATATTTTTTTTCATATTTCTCCTGATATAATAGTTTGATAACGTATGGATATCAATGATGATGATCGAACTTATAATGTGCATGATAAGTTGCTGAAGCAGCAGTAATAAATACACAGATGAAAAGGAGTTCGGTAAAGTGAAAAAACGCTGGTCAGTCGAGAGGTAAATGAACACGAGAATCACTAGCTGCTAATTTAACGAGTGTCTTCTTTACCCTGAGAATGGGTAGCCTGGCTGCTGGTTTGCCATGCCAACACTCCCGCATTAATTTTCCCATCCCAGCCAATGTCTGTAATGGAAGCGTAATTGTTACAAAAATATTCAAGCATTAATAATAACAGGGTTGCCACAGAAAATGAAGTTCCCTGGCTTTTCCATGCTTCTCAGGCGAACTTGCCGACGACGGAAAATTCATGAGTATTTGGAAGATGCAGAAAGCATTTAAGGGAATTGTTCTTAATATCTTTCCTTGATATTTCCATTTTCCTTTTTAAGGAAAATGTGGCAACCCTGAATAATTGGGATCTATCTTTGCTTTTAGTCTCGTTGACAAGAGAAGAATTACCGGGTCAGAATGCCACCTATTCGGAAGAGGTGGCCTTCGCTGATCGAACACGACTAATTTACGCATTTCTTCTACGGAGGGCTCTTGATTACTGCTTGATAACCATTCGCTGTACGGCATCGCGTACTCCAAAACTACGCCGTTACTTATACATCTGAGACAAACCTCCCACAATATCAGTCCTAAACTATAGACGTCTGCTCGTCTGAAACTCTCTAAACATTCGACGTTCATCCTAAAAACAACGTAGAGAAACACTTTCAACGTCTGCATAGACTTTTTTTCTTATATAACCGGTATAAAGTAAAAACTTGAGTCAACATACGTTTGTTCAAGAATCTCAGGGCTCATGTAACGCTTCGTTCCTTGCCGCAAGTCGACTCTTTCCGCCGAGAGGCGATCCTGCGTGGTCGCTAATGCGAAATCGGCGATCACGCAGCCACCGTTGGTTTTAACCAGGATATTTTTCGACTTGAGGTTACGGTGGGCCATGGCTGGCTTACCTCTGGTACCATGAATCTCCGTATGCAGATAAAGCAAACCGTTAGCGATACCAACGCAGATATTGAGCGTCTGATGATGCGTTAACGGATGCGGCGATCGATTGAGATGATCGAAGAGCGAGCCGAGCGGATGATAATGCGTCACCAGCCATAGTTGAGTGCAACTGCCCCTGCTGGTCATATCACTACCAACGTATCCTAGGATATTGTCGTGTCTGGACGGCAAAAGTTCTGAATAAACCTCGGTTTCTCGTGCCCAGGCAGCTTCATCCCGTGAAAAATAGATCTTCACAGCGACACTCTCGCCATGCCAGACACCTCGCCATACTTCCCCACCGAAACTGCTGTTACCATTACTGAGACACTCTACCAGAGCTACTTGCTTGGCTAAGGTTCTCTGCACCAACAAAGGCAATCCAGAACCGGAGCCACTGGTTAGACTTCGACCATCTAAGTACTCCTGAAAATTAGAATTACATAACATCTGCGTTACGGTGCAAGATGTAAAGAGACGACGCGCCACTTTACGTACTTTAAGCGTACTATCACCGGCGGCAGTTGCTCTAAGCTCGTGCGGATGATAAGAAGCGGATGGTGTTGAGGAAGGAAACGAGAAATGTAACATGGAAGGCTCGATGTCGGAATCTATCATCAGCTCGTTTTGATGCGGCGCCATTGACTCTTTCCTTCGCAACTGGTGCGTCAATAGGCATAAGAGGAACCCTCCAGCGATGAATAATCCAGCCACAGATCCAAGTATTGCGAACGTTAATTTCAGTACGTAATATTCTCTGTTGGAATCTGAAAACAATATACAAAAACTATTTTTAACAAATTCCATCATTTTCTTATCCACTTATAACAACTGTTGTCACATCTCGATGAAAAATTTCTTGTAAAAAGTCAATATGCTACCGTTTATTAATATAAATTGACATTTTACATGTAAAAATGTTCTGAATATGAAGATGTGAAATAAATCATCCGAACAGTTAAAATGTTAATAAAAACATGTCTTACTGTTTGAATAATCGTGCAATACAGGATATGGTCCAACATTACAAAAGTCTTCTTGGCAACATTCTACAGAGTATTGAACACCACCTCGTAGGTTTCTAATACGTTCCTCTGCATGTTCGACATTTTCTTCTCTGTTACACATAAACTTCTTATGATCTTCAGTTGTATAACAACCACGGCTAACATATTCTGTGCCATCTTCCTCTCTTACCCTAGATTTCCAACACTGTCAAGCAAAGTGGATAAGTTACACGGCAGAAAGAGAAATCAATAAGAAAGAAACAAAGAATCTTTACAGTGATTGCATTTTCACAGATGCGAGGTGGCAAACATTCGGCATCATCACATATATGGCACTTAAGACGCTTTTGGCCAACTGTACTGCTGCCAAAATTATGATCTAATGGTTCAGACAAATTTGGTTCCTCGTCAAAGGAAGTATCATGTTCCTGTAATGCAATAATATCTCCTTCGCCTGGAAAACCAATGTAAACTACATATCACAATGAATAGAAATAAACGTTCGATGACGATAGGAATTGGTAAAAAAAAAAAGAAATATACTGGGACATTGTTGGAAACTTTGAATGTTAAAGCCAGCATAATACACAGAAGCACATATTCAAAACTGTAAAAATTCAAACATAACGAAAGGTTGAAGTTCTACTCGAAATTTACAGCGCACGGTGAGTATGATTTGCGACATTTTATTCCCATACCTGTACATAATCTGAATGTCAACAAGAGTACGAAATACGTGATAAATATAACATCCGCCATTTCTATGCGCGTCAAAACACTAGACTACTCGACTCAAATTACATTGAAACCGTTTCTCCCGTGATCGCGCTCAATAGCCTCATGTCGCTCTCCATTATAAACGGAAAATATTTTTTTTGTGCGATACGTCCATTATTTGTGCCTTTTTTTCTCGGAACCACAGTAGACATCGGTATATCATTCTATGGTAAGACTATCGTCACCGAGCAAATATTATTGAAGACCGACAGCTTTGCATGATTGCAAGTCCGATGATAATTGCAATGCCGACATTATCAACCGTTTCCCGACCGTTCGAATGGTCATCCTACGATACAATGTTAATTTTACGACATGTTATTCAGTTATCTCGCAGATTTACGTACATCTACGTTGTGCGGTAATAATACCTGCTTCTGTGCATTTGTTTGTGATTATCGTCTAATCACACGGATGACAACCGAGCACACATGAGAATTGGTCCTAATCGTGCGAAACACTATTAGTGGCCTTGATGAAACATCTGATTCGGGACAGCAGTGTACTTAATTCGACTCATTTAACACGGCAATCAAATATTCTCATGTAACTAAGGTTCGAACCTGCCTTTATGAAGCTAATAATATTAGCGAGTGGTATAGTTATGAAGCTGTCTTATTCATAATCGGCCACGCTTGTTATGCACTTTCGTTGAGGTATATTGTCAGCCCAGATAATTGTAACCTTGAATATATTTGCGAATCGAAAGTGAGAAGAGGGCTAAAGAGAGTTTCCGATCCCGCGCCGAGTTCGCGGATCTGTTGTGTCGCGCGAGAAAGGCATCAGTAAGAAGCTGGAGCTAACCTAAAATGCGAACATCCGTGAACGTTGACACGCTTATACTACTGGGAATTCATTTGTTTTATTGGCCCATCGATACGGTATCGGCCAGCGGCGGAGCTCTCGATTCTACCCCTACTTTCCAGACCGCCGGTGCTTCCAGCACTTCACATTCCAAGATAACAGCATTCTCCGCTACCCTCACTGATGGACTGGCTCAGGCAGTGGCTCATGAGTCCAGTAAGTCGTTGGAACTTTTGCAATCATCAATCATACTTCTATGCGCTTTACCAACTTATTTCAGCCACGGACACCTGTAACGACGACTTAGCCTGCATCACGATGGCTTCTCACGATCGACTAGGTTTAGAGGCTATAAAATCTCTTCACAGTCAGCTGGACGATGACGCTAATGGAAATGTTGATTTGTCTGAATCCGACGATGTAAGAATATATATATATATATATATATATACTACATTCATGCACAGGGAATAAAATCAATATGCTTTGACAGTTCCTGAGAGAAGAGCTGCAATACGAGGCTGGTTACGAGCGCAGACAAAGAGCTTTCCATCATAATGATGACATGCACATTAGTGTACGAGAACTTTGGGAGGCTTGGTTACGATCTGAAGTAATACGACAGGATCTTTTTATATCAAAATTATTATAAATATTGAGAATTATAATGTTTTCAAATATTAGGTTCACAATTGGACTATAGAACAAACATCAGAATGGTTAACTTCCAATGTTGAGCTTCCGCAATATGTTCCTACTTTCATACAACACCGTGTAACAGGTGCCACGCTTCCTCGGTAAGTTCATTATCCAAGCGCGATACTTTCTATTAAGACAGTTTTTTTATATTTTAATTTGCTACTGCAATTATTGAACAATTTATTTTGTAGATTGGCTGTGAACAATATGCAATATCTTAGCAATGTTTTGGGTATCAAAGATCCCATCCATAAACAAAAAATTGCCTTAAAAGCGATGGATGTTGTTCTTTTTGGACCCCCCAAAGGTACCTGCCTAGTGTTGTCATATCAAAATATATCCTTCACTCGGAGGCAGTTTACTGCATTTAATTGTTAATAGATGCTGGACATAGTGTTAAAGACTTGGTTTTGGTCACGTTGTTATTTGGAGCACTTATTGGATGCTGGTACGCATATCAACAGAAGAAGAACTCGCAGAAGCATCTTCATAGAATGATGAAAGATATGGAAAGCTTACATAAGGCAGAACTTGCACTGGAAGATTTACAGGTATTTCTTTTTTTAATTAATATGTCTAAAACATATTGATCCTATATAATAAATGTCCTTCACTATAGTAAGACTTTTATTAACCTTATACTATAATTAATTGTAGAAAGAATTGGAGAGGGCAAGGATGGAACAAGAGAGCACAGCTACCGAAAAACAGAATCTAGAGAAACGTTTACAAGATGAAAGTTTGGGATTACATACTTCGTATTCGGATCTCGAAGTATCGCAATTAAAAGCAGAAATTGAGGTGAACTCTGTCACTTATAATTTGTGCACACACGGATGGTAAAATAATTTTATTTTAATCAATTTATGTATATTTGGTGCAGATGTTAAAACTAGAGTTGCAACGGGCAGAGGGTGAACTTGAAGATAGATGTTGGTCACCACCGGCTGGGCTACAACATTGGTTGCAATTAACTCATGAAATTGAAAACAAAGCATATACAAAAAAGAAAATAGCAGCTGAAAAGCAACTTCAACAAGCACGAGAAGCGGTAAAACTATTAAATATTTTCCAATGTATAATAATCTAAGATTCATGTTGCATATGTCATATTGTGTTTCATAATTAATCATCAAGTTTGAATAAACATTTCATTTATAATATCCCTATTAGAAACAAATTTTGCGCATTATTTTATAGTGCGAAAAATTGCGGAAGAAACGTTCCAGCTTGGTGGGCGCTTTTGTATCCACTCATGGGAAATCCATCGACGAAGTTGACAAGAGTATTGTTGAAGCGAGAACTGCCCTGAATGAAGTAACAGCCGAGCTTCAGGAAAGAGTATATCGTTGGAAACAAATTGAACTTCTTTGCGGTTTTAATATAATCAACAATAATGGATTAAGCTATTTAGAAACAGTTTTATACAGAGGAACACCTAATGGTAGAGGTCTTGGATTCAGAGGTATTTAATATTATTATGAAATACACTATTTATAATTAATAATACACTTTATACATTTTTGTGCATTTTTTTGTGCATTTTTATGTGTTCATATATTTTTGCATTCTAATGCCATTATACAATATTTTCATATCGTAATCTCATTTTTCTCAATAAAAGAATGTTCAGAATATATTTATATCGAATTTTGGATAACATTAATATACATATAAATATAAATAAATAAATAAATAAATAAATAAATATATATATATATATAATATATATATATCATGTATATATAAGCTGCAGCAAAATAATCGTTTATAATTATTCCTCGCTTGGAACTTTTAGTTGCAAAAATTAGGATAGAAAATGCTTGCTCTATAATTTCGCAAAATTCTAAATGATTTATATATATTATATTATAGGACGACTCAGTAGCCAAGATGATTTAGATGATGAGGCAAGTTCTGTGTATACACCATCTACGGTCGGTGTTGCAGGTAAGCTGGATACGGATTCACATGAGTACTTAGATTGACGTATCGATGATCACATCATTCTGAAATACCATATTGTGGCCAGTTCATCCGTTACATATATGTAACGTATGGACATATATATATATATATATATATATATATATATATATATAGGTGTCCTGTTTTAATCCGTAAATTCGTACGTATCAACGGAAATTAGTGATTAATGGTAAACATCGCAAAATTCTCTTTTTGACGACGCGAACAATTAACGTGAAAAAAAGAATAAACAAGAATATATATTTTATAAAAAATAAAGTTAAAAGTAATTTTAAAATTATTCTCTCTGACGTTCCTATTATGTATACACAATAACGTGCCTTTCTTTTAATCCTTTAAAAGCACTTCTTTCCATTCAATACATAGTTTCCGAGGGAAACATATATACAGAGGGTGATCCATTTTAATTTTAACAAGCAAATATTTCGAAAAATATCAAAGATACGGGAAAATGTTTCAGATAAAAGTTGTAGGGTTTTTTTGGGAGGGAGGGAGGGCATAAAACGGTGAACTTAACTTCGTTGTACAGTATTAACCCTTTGCACTCCAGCCTAGTAATGCATAGAGGCTATTAGTTCCAAGTACATACCTATGATGTAGAAGAAAAATAGAGTCGTTTCAATAAAACAAAATTTTTATTTCTTAGCTATTTTATAACAAAACATATTCTAACTTATATTATAAAAGAAAAACATAAATTTTAGGACTTAAAATTTCTTAAAGTGCCGAAGCAGCAAAACAACCATGTCGCCGCTACGGCGACAGCGGAGTGCAAAGGGTTAATAATTCAAGATCATTTCAAGGTCAACTTCAATTTTTTTTATAGTATCATAGTTTTTTATCGATTTTTCTGTTAATTACACGTATAAAAGTACTAGGGCAAGGTCATCTGAATACGAATATTTTTCGAATTATTTTACTTTTTATTCGGATATTTTTTAGTACGAGAGATATGAAATATCTCATGAAATATTCACTTTTTGGTAACATTACCTAAACATTTTTTTGCATAATAATATGAGAGAAATCGATTACTTGCATTAATCATTGCAAAAAGCAATGAATTTTTTAAATGATTTCTCTATGTTTGCTTACAGCGATCGATTCCACCTGCCATTTTACATACAAAGGTGTTAAGATGATGATATCGAGAAAGGAATATTTTATGAGATATTTCATATTTTCTACTGAAAAGTACCAAAATAAAAAGTGAAATAACTCGAAAAATATTTGTATTTAGATTAACTTAGCCTAGTACTTTTATACGTATAATTAACAGAGGAATTGATAAAAAAAATCTATATGATTCTATTTAAAGAAATAAAGTTGACTTTGAAATAACCTTGAATTATTGATTATACAAGTCAAGGTTACCGTCGAAGGTCACTGTCGAAGTTGAGGTCACCGTTTCATATCCCCCTTCAAACTCTACAATTCTTATCTGAAACATTTTTCCACACCTTTCATATTTTCCGAAATATTTGCCTGTTAAGATTAATCACCTTGTGTGTATATATACATACAGTTAGAAATAGGACATCTCATATATCTCATATGACATTGAACTTGATCTGACAATAGTTCACTAACGAAATATTTTTTGTGTTTAATAATATTGTAGAGAAGGTATATTTTTTATAGCTTTAATATACTTTTGTGCCAAAATAACAAACGTTTACAGTAACGTTTCCATAATTTTCATTAAAATATCATGTGCCTTAAGTGTACATCGTAATCAGTATACAGTAAAATCAATGACATATCCATAGAACGGATGAATACGTTTTATTCGTGTATGTTAATCTTTAATAGATCATGGGGAAGTAGTAATTAGATGATGCTGCGGCTATTGCAGTGTCAATGTATGCCATATTTGTATAAAATTCGATATTTTACTAAGGAATATAAGAGAACCATGTTCAGCTCTATATAATGTTTATAGGGGTTACTTACAAAGAATATATAAAAACGATAAAATATGCGTCCCGTTACTTATTTGTATCAGTTAGGATAAGTCAACCAAAAAAAGGGATCAAAATAATGTTGTGACAAATAATGTTGAATTGATAAGTGATTGATGCATGGAATATATACAAGTTGCCAAATACAAATGCATATTTGTATATATCTGTTTTATGTGCAATTTATTATTTACACATAAAAAGTATACTCGAAAAATTATAAAAAATGGTTGAATAACGCCTTAAGTATTTTACTTACTTCTTTTTTAGAAGCAATGCGCTTCCTTAAGAGTAGATTTCTTTTGCATAATTTTGTAATTTGATATGATCACTTCCATTGTATGTGCTAAAACAGATATCGTATTATCTTATTACAAGACATACTATGTAAAATAAAGCACTTTAATTATGTGATAAAAATTTAAAGAAATTTTAAGACGCAAGAGATATCTCTGTACGATGTGCCTGTGACTTAATTTTTCTTTTTAATTGTACAATTACATTCCTGTTATTTGTTCATGGCATTATGACAGTTATTTTAGTTTTGACTGTAACGACAATAATGCAAAAATTACTTTATTATTATCTGAAATATTAATTACGTTGACATGACACACAAAGTACAAAATTATAAATAATAATGATATATGTGTTTTATAAGTGTACATAGATTTTACGGATTTTATATCGTGGGGAGAAATATCGCGAAATACGTTATTGGACATATATATTTTATATTTTGAACTTTTGCAAACGTAGAATTATGTACGAACCCATCGACAATCAACGTATTACGGGCATTATATATATGTACACACATATACACACGCACGCACGCACACACACACACACGTATACAAAATTTATCTTAGTAATAATTGAATTGAATATCCGAAAAATACTTGGTATTCTTCTTTTACTATACGCATGTCTCGTTTATAAGTTGATACGCACGTTTGAAGACACATAATATGTTGGAAATGTAACAATAAATATTGCTGTATTAACGAAACGAAAAAAATATCTCGTTGTAAAGAATATATTGCTATCTCGTTACTCTTTTAACTACGACTCATCAATTGTCCTTGGATGACTTGGTAAATTATATGTACCTTTCTGCAGTTAAATATTTATCAAGGAAACATTGATGTCTTGACCTACCGCATATTTGTATGTCACAGTGAGTCCATTTTTTATTTCATAAAGATTACACGATGGCGTTATTTTTTATGTACAAGATATTTATTAATCGCTATTAATAAACTCTTATACAAGCTTGTGAAATAAACAAGAACATGTGGGCTTGTTAATATGACCTGTACCGAACTCGAGTGTTCCGATTGTATTTCTTATTATTCCAAAGCCTAGAGCATGTTAATTAAATTGCCCCAAATAATGTTAAATAAGAGTGAATTGAACATGAGCTTATGCCTAGTAAGTTAAAGCTATTTCTATAAGCACGTAATATTAAAATAATATTCTAAAAGTATTATGTAATATTTTTTAATATTATAAGAATGTTCTATCGATATGTCTAATATTATTAAGGGTGGATGGACATATAACCATATATTAAGATTCCAGAAGTACTTCATAATAATGTTACGCGCCTGTAGGGGTAATTCATCACGCTATGTTGCAATTGGCGATCGCTACTTAATAATTGTGACTATCTGTACGTTACACAGAGCTCATAATTTAGATAGAAAAAATGTTCAAAAGCGGACTGTTGATAGCTAGCACTGTAAAACATTCGGAGGAGCCTTGATCGCCAGAGTTTTATCTCGTCAAACGAACGGTCTCGATGATTGGTCGTAGTTAAATTGACGGGATAAATGTCATGATACGTAATTCTGAACATGATCAAACGATGATTCGCCTCATTTCCCGCAAATTTCTACGTCATGCGATATGTGCATTTGTAGCCACGTAACTAATGTATGGAGAAGAGGGCGATTCCTACGATGTGAACGAATATCGCCGTTTTCTTTCTCGCCGCCGGATCTACAATAGATGTAGTGAGCCTTTTATTATGAGCGAAATAAAATTTCGAACAAAAGGCATTTTCTGTGCTACTGAAAGTCGTGATAACGATAAAATTTTAGAAAAAATCGCTATGTCTGATAACGCTGAAAACGCTTTTCGCTAAAAATGACGTTACAATTTAGTGCTCAGAGCAAAAGGCTTAGAACAAAAGTCCTTGTCTACAGCCTTGCTTTAGTCTACAATAAGTGCTCTAAGCCTTAAGAAATTGGTCAATCACAGCCGATTACTCTCCTCACATTCGACTGTGTTAATTCGATTTGTTAATTTCTTACTATATTTATTTCCACCATCATCATTTAAATCGACGACTAACTTCATGGATTTGACCAATCGATCAGCTAATTGGTTAATTCCGTTGGATTAATCGTCGATTTAAACTGGTAATGGTAGAAATAGGCATTAAGCTTTCACCAACTTCAGTTAGGATAACCGACGGTCAATTGACCAATTGTATTGATCACTTTAGTTAATTGGGCGACTAGTCGGTTGAACTTAACTGGTGAAAGCCATCCTTGATATATTAAGTATAGTTTATGATAAATGCAAGGTTGTAAACATAAGAGCCTTAACAGAGTGGCTGTACTTTCAAGACAATGTTTTATAGTCTAAATTATCATTTTTTTTCCAACTTATTTTTATCGTACAGCGGTTTGTTGCCAGTCACAAAAAGAACCGGTTTTAAGATACCCCTTGTTTTAAGACGTAATATCAAATGGACCAACCACGATCGGTTATTTTTCTAACAAACGATTATGCTAAGATCCGAATCAACAATAGGTACAGCAAGTCTCTCGCTCTGAGCGATAAAATGTAATGAAATATGTCGGACAAAAAGCGTTCGCCAATCTTAGGAATCGCGACGTCTGGTAACGTTTTTGTTACAATTTAGCGTGCTTGGAGCAAAAGGTTTATTACATTGTAGATAAAGCGGCTTCAGCAGCTTTAATGAGGCATTTACGCATTATTTGACGGCAGGTACTCTGGATAATTCGGGGTGGAAAGAGTCGTCGATGCCGCCGGATTCGTCGAGCAGCGAGGCGGACAGGGATACGCAGCCCGAGGCCGTCCACTTCGTGCTGGGCGACGGCCCGGATGAGTCGGGTGGAGTCTCCGGGAAGATCGTAATGTGCAAAGAAAAGACTGGCAGCATCGTACGTTCTTACAGCCAAGACACGAACATGCTGCTTAATGAGGACAAAGCTACCTCGTTTCTGCCGAAAACGTCGTACTCGGAAAATTCTCTCGACGTTTCAGACAGACCCGGCGGCTATCGTCTTGCCACTACGAAGAACGCGAAGAAATTACTTCGGGAATTACCCACAGTAATGTCAGTCGACGACGAGACGCTCTCAACCGATTCCAATTCTACCGCAGACAACGACGAGCTTAAACGAAAGCGCAGGAAGCTACACTTTCCTGCCTTTAGGAAGAACAAAACTAAAGTTACGTGATAAACCGCTAGTCACATTATGTCCTTTGTTACTTAATTGTTATCCGTTATATAGTTATTAGTTGTAATCGCGACGTGCACTTAAGAGTTATTCTACCAATATAAAATCATTATATTCTGTCAGTCCGATGCGATAGGCTTTTAATTAAATGTAACGTGATTTCTGACGAAAGGCGCCTGTAAAAAGTCGTGATAACGCTTGAATCTCAGGAATTGCGACTCGGCAATTCGTAGCGCTGTAAATACTTTTTGTTAGGAATCACATTGCAAATTAACGAGCAAAAGCCTGAAGGTCGCATCTTTTGTAGGTCTAAGTGCGAGACGAAAGTTATTGTTTCGCTGAGAAACGGTGCATTCTCCGCGCTCATTCACCTGATAAATCACTCCATTGTCGCAGTTAATTCAATCTAAACTCACGAAAAACATATTTTAGATCTTCGCGATCATCCGATCGAAAATATATGCATATATGTCGTAGTGATTGATCGTAGAATAGCGGCAAAAAATATGTTTTTACGCTGAATCGACTATTTCGGGCAATTATTGAATTTGTCGCAAGAATTCTACTTGCGAAGAATATATATTAAAGGATACAACCAGACCAATTTTAATACAATGGAGAAGATCTACCAGACACAAATGCGTAACAACATTTCAAGCGTGCTTCAGTTATTTGTGTTTCGGCGAAATAATCATTTTCATCTCGAATGCGAGGCGACGTTTCTGTGTGATAAATTGTAATTATTAGCAAATTATTAGCGTGACACCACACACAAGACACACACGCTCTCTCTCTCTCTCTCTCTCTGTCGCGCGCGCGCGCGCGCGCGTATAAACTCATGAAAAAGATAACGATCGATTTAGGACATTTGATGCTCAGATGTTCTTTTCGTGTTTTGCCAAATTTGCGTGCACGCAAAATAGTTATTACGAAACCAATTAGTAGATACACGTTGATAAATGACGTTTGATGTAGATAAATTTTTTACGAGCAATATATTCGAAAGTTCTAATTGTGACAATACACACATACACACATACACGTACGCGCGCGCGTGACACACACCACACACACGCGCGCACGCACGCACACACACACGCGCGCGCGCGCACACACACAGGGTGTACCAATCATTCTCAGTTCCCGTGGTGTACAGGTAGAACAGATGAAATTGAGCAGAAAAGTCATGTGCCATTTTGCAAAATTCGCAATAGTTAGTGAGGAACGAATTATTTTGTCTCAATTAATGAGCACACGGAAAGGGATAGGTTAGATTCTATATAAAAAAAATGGCTTACTTCTCAAGATCTCCTAATAACAAAGTGTATTAACTGATAACGAGAGGCATGTTTTTTGTCAGCGCATAGCCTTCTGTCACATGGCGCTCGTTACTCCGCCTTTAGAAATCAGTTGATATTCATCGTTGCTAAGAGGCCTTAAGAGGTAAACAATTTTTTTTTATACAATGTTCTACCCTTTGGTCTACCCTTTCCCGTGCTAGACAGACTCAGCTCAGATAAAATAATTAATTTCTCACCAACTGTCGCAAATTTTGCAAAATATGACTTTTCTGCTCAGTTTCAGCCGTTCTATCTGCACACCACGGGAACCGAGACGGTTTAGGATATTCTTTTTTTCGGCATATATTTTGGGAGAAACTGAATGTTCTCCAGGCGACACATTTTTAAGAAATAAAATTTTTTTACGGTGGGAAACGTTAATAATAATGATAATTATTATTAGCTTAATTTTCTTTGTTGCGATATAATTCCGTAGTTTAAGTCATTATCGGTGTAATAGACTCCCACCAGACTGGACACAAATTCGCAAATTCAACTTTGGAATCGTTCTCGTGGTATTGATTCTTACGAGTTAGAAATAACACGCTGTTCCTTCGTAAAACGGTCCAATTTTTACCGTTAACCGTCCATATATATTGGTATAATATATATAATTAATTTTCGGCGCACTTCGACAGAACGAAAAGAAAAAAACGAATTTTATACATTTGTATAACGTGTACTAATAAGTAAATTATAAAACACCATGCGAAATCTTATCGCGAACGTTTGAGTTAATCGATCACCGGAAAGAAGATTTATTCCCTTCGGAGACAAAACATATCCTAATCGGAGGAAGCGTCGGGTTTCTCGAATCAGTCCACCTTAATTGCATCCAATTGCAATACGAATTTTTAGATTGTAGCAAGGATACGACACGTAGAAACCGTTTTTGTTCTTTCATCTTGTAAATTCTTCACACAATTCACTTCAAATTTTTCACACACACACACACACACACACACACACGCGTGCGCGCGCGCGCGTCACATAGAATATTGACTGGCGATTGCTTCACGAATCTTGGAAATTCTGTTTCCTTTCTCCTTCGAAGAAGGTTGCAACAATAGGTACGCTTTGACGATATATTTTAACAATGTACTTCTGTTCTTCGACGATCGATTTTCTTTCGATTTGTATGCGCTAGCTCAGAATCAAATTACTTTCAACATGTATTGTAGCGAGGCTGGGGAATCCTCAATCTTATTGACTCGCTAATCATTATCATTATTCCACGCTCGCGTATATGAGGCACAATAACGACAATTGTTCCCACTATGCTCGTTTGTGTTGGCGCATTATATTTCCTTATTTGTGTTACATCTGATTATTCCTCGCAGATAACGCTCTAGTATGTTAGACAACTTCCATTTTATGTCTACCTTCAGGAACGGTGTTTAATTGCTGTTACCCCAATGATTTCGGCAACGGAAGATCTGTCATTGTTGCGAGCAGACTGACACATTTAAATCTCGGTTAACTGAAGATTCGTGTTGAAGGAATATTCATGCTTTCTTCTCTTTTTTGTTTTCTCTTCTTCTATTCGTGCTTATCGCCTCGCGGAATCACACAAGAGGCAGGAATATTCCCTGCGCATTCCACAGGCACAGTAATAATTCGTGATTACAATTAGTTAAGATTAGCGATTGTGCAATGCATCACGTAATAACGACGATCAACACTCTTCGCCTCGACAATTTTCTGCTCTAGCGCGAGGCTAGCGTTTTTTTTTTTACATAAAAAGTTACGCACAACTGTCGATCAATAAGAAACAATAAGAAGCGCCTTCCACGTAATATACCTTTTGTATATCGTGTTAGTTATACAGTTGAGATGATCCCGATCGCTAGGTTCTCCCGTGAGGAAGGGGTCGTTGACGTCGGCGGTTATGTAATCCAAAATCGATCTTTTAACAGTGTGTATTCATGTTTGCATGCTGTAAAGCAGTTAGTATTAATGTTTATACATACAGCTAGCAATACATCGACAAAGTATTATGCTGTTTTTAACAAACACATACAATGCAATAAATTTTAATAACGTAATAGCGGCACAAAGAGAGAAATTAATGAGCGAAATGAATATTGAACGAGAATAGGCAGCGCGCATACGCACGCATTTTTAAGATCCGCAATAGTAACGTTATTTGAACCAACAGATAAACGGACGGAAATACGAGACTAAAATGCGTCAGCTTCACCGCAGTATCTGATTTCGTGACGAAAAAAGAAAAATCGAGTTGCGCTCTCTCCATAAAACGTTCTTCCTTAGGATATTTCGAGAAACGATGATTTTATATTTACAAAGGACAGTTTCTAAGGCTATATATCTCGCTATGTATTATTTTTTTTGTTGGAATGATCGATAGATCCGAATGTGTGAGAAACCCTATTAGTTGAACAGTATGCGATCAAGTTACTGTTGAGGATTTTTACGCCGTTATTTCGCGCCTCGTACGAATCTTTATCGAAGTTGAATATATTTTAGATAAGAAATAGCCACATTTTTAATTAGCGTCCGTATTTAAATTATTCTTAATATATTATTGCGATGTCGCTCACGAATACGGCGCGTCTTCCCTGTAATACAAAAGTGACATTTTATAAAAATAAATGCAGCAAGTTTTATGATGAACTGTGTTCTTTTGTGCGCATGTACGGACTTGACGGAAAGGTTGTGACTGAAAGATCCGTGAAACTGACGTGTTAAACCGAAAGAATGTTGCACTGTCGATTTATCCATTAAGGCTGCACAGGAGCCGATTATACAGAATTATAATCAATCACTCTTTTTATCTTCGCATGATAAAGTCGAATTGAAAATATATTCAGACAAAAGTTGTAGAGCTTGAAGGGGAACATGAGTTAGTAACCGTTGTAATTTCGTTGTACAGTCAATAATTCAAGGTTATTTCAACTTCATTTTTTCTTAATGGAATTATAGTTTTTTTTTTTTTTTAACACAAATCAATTCCTTTGCTCATTCAGTATGTAAAAGGATAAGCTCATAGAAAAGTGAATATTTTTGAGATATATTACTTTTAATTCTGATATTTTTCAGTATGAAATATCTCATAAAGAATATTCACTTTTCGATAACATCACCTTAACACTTTTATACGTGAAGAATGACAGGTGGAATCGATCGTAAGCAAACTTAGAGAAATATTTAAAAAATTCATTGCATTTTGCAAATGCATCAATGGTCCACAAAGGTTCATCTAAAAAAAAACTATTGACATCACAACATTTTGCTGTAGACATTTTCGGCTCATTTTTTCATGAGGAATACGTACATGCCAGCTCCTCCGATTGTCCTGGATCACCTAATATAATTCCATATGTAATCTTATATGAGTGCGTATGAGCATATATATTTATTATATATTCGAAGTTATATTTTCCCATATATATATATGACTTCATATATAATTTTATATAGTTAAATATAATTATATATACACTTTTCCTCCCGGATCTGACTGTGAATACTGACCTACAAACTATCACGATGTCTTTACTATGTGAAATCAATATCTTTAATAATTCAATTTCTTAAGGACTCCCAAAGCTGAAAATGAACTGGTTAAAGATTGGTTTTTTCTTTTAAGCCATTTTGTAAAAAAATCAATTTTTACCTCCCATCGTGGTAAGAACGATAATCACAGGTTTATAGTTTAATAATTTTTTCGCCGTTTTAGTTGCAGAAACTTACAACGTCCGGAATTGTGGCAATTATATCAGCAAAAGTTCTGCTTGTTCAGCTCTGTACAAAATTATTTCATAATTTTATTAATATCGAAGATAATATATAGAAGAATTATTATATATAGTTAAATCATAGGTAAATATTTGTACAAAACTTTAGAACTGTATTTTATAGTTAAAAAGATTTTTTAAATTACCTACAAAATAATGTTTCAAATGAGAATATCTCTTTAACATCTCGTATGTTAGCAGCGCGACAGTAAGAAATTATCGACCGCAGTTTATCATCAGAAATCTCTTGATTGTCTCACGAATTGGACAACTCGTAGGCCAATTCTATAATTCTTAATAACAGCTTTTCTACCATATATTATATCTGCGCAACGACAACATAACGACACCGTCATCAAAAAATGCAGAGTAGGTTGTCCGCCGACCAAAGAACGCTGATTATCAATCATAATATAACATATTTTGTCACGAAGGTTTTATTTGATTTTCGTCAACATTACATACTACTATAAACTACTTTTAACAAACCATTCGATAAAATTTACAATACATATCGATGACTAATCCTTTCGGCGTTGCTAATTGAAGTTGTTTACGCGAACGAGATTAACTTATACGTTGCGAAATGAATAAATCAAGTCGCCATTACGTGATCTTTGACAGCGGCAAAACGCGCGACTCCGTCCGTACGATAGAAATATAAATCTGCCAAATAACAGACACGCACGCACGCACGCACGCACGCACGCACGCACGCACGCACGCACGCACGCACGCGCGCACACACACACACACACACACACACACACACACACACACACACACACACACACACACACACACACACACACACACACACACACACACACACACACACACACACACACACACACACACACACACACACACACACACACACACACACACACACACACACACACACACACACACACACACACACACACACACACACACACACACACACACACACACACACACACACACACACACACACACACACACACACACACACACACACACACACACACACACACACACACACACACACACACACACACACACACACACACACACACACACACACACACACACACACACACACACACACACACACACACACACACACACACACACACACACACACACACACACACACACACACACACACACACACACACACACACACACACACACACACACACACACACACACACACACACACACACACACACACACACACACACACACACACACACACACACACACACACACACACACACACACACACACACACACACACACACACACACACACACACACACACACACACACACACACACACACACACACACACACACACATCAATTAATATGAAGATCATTTAAACATCGCGCGACGAGAGAGAGAGAGAGGGAGAGAGAGAGAGAGAGAGAGAGAAAGGTAAACTGCGATTTGGCTCGAAATCTTACGCTTAATCTGACTAAACCGCTCCGACAGTTTGCGCACGTTTCGGGGTTTATTTAATATATAAATTATAATATCATTAAGTACACAGCGCTCGATGTGTAACGACTATCAAATGACTACTGGCTACTGGGACTAGTAGCTAGAGGTCTTTGACCCGCGATCGATGTAGATGGTATAGAGTTGAGAAACCTATACTCAGTCTTATATAACGTAAAAATATACAACATATACGAACGGACGGACGGACTACTTTGAACGTCTATCTAACAATGAGTAAAAGTGGATCCTTCGATGTCGACTTTGATCGATAGTTATGATGAATCCACGTCACAAGTCGGTGAACGATCGTGCGTGTAGATGAATTCGCCGATTATAAAGACATTTTTTTCATTATATCCGTTAAAAAACAAAGAACGTATCGTTAAAATTCGTAAGAATAACGCGGTTATCGACAAGACGAGAAAAATGCCTTCGTAATCGATAATACATCTAAGGCATTCGCGAGTCACACGTAAAATTTATATTGGATTATCGCTTTCTAATCCACTCAAGCGACAGTCCTGCAGTATAAAACGTCATAAATATAAATATATACGTACGTATAGCTACAAACTACGAATAGGTAATGCCAGCCAGTGTTAGGTATTGATCGAGTAAAATTTTTCACTTAACTGAAATAATCTATTAATCAAATGTTTATATAAGTGTAATTAATGAATCGTTATGTATATAATCGTGGCTAATTTAATCGATTGTTGATATTAATCATTGTAGGATCAATCAAAGTAATCATTATACATCATTATTTATAATTACGAACTAATCGATTAATTAATTTAATCGATTGTTGAGATTAATCATTGATTAAAGAAGTAATCATACATTAGTTGTTAATTTTAATCAAGACGTGATTAAACGTTGTAGTCAATCTGTGTAAAAATTTATTTTAAACGGCATGTATTTGTAAAGATATGATCGACTGATTATATTAGTCACGATTACATATATGAGGTGTATACGAAAATTACTGGAATAATTTGGACAATAATTTAAATGCGCAGTAAACATTGTTTCATACAAATAGGCGCATTTTTAACGACAGCATCCATCTGATTTTGAATGGCGTTGCTAAAATCAGGTCAACATGAAATTTTGTAACAGAATGATAGTTTTTTTTTTGTTTTAAACATAAACTGATTCCCCCAGTCATTCTGTAGTATATGAAAATACCAGGGTAAAATCATCGAAAGTAGATACGAAAGATATTTTACATTCCTGTTATTTTTCAGCACAAAATATGACGAAACATCACATAAAACATTCATTTTTCGATAATCTCACCTGAAATTTGATTTTTGTACGTAGAATAACGAGTGGAGTAATCAGTTGTTATAAGAAAATATAAGAAAGCCCTTAAAAAAAAATTCGTTGCAATGATGTATCAATGATTAGTATCATTAATAAATTTTTCTCGTATTTTCTGAGATATGTTCTGACACCTCGTAGAACGATTAATTTCGATTAATAGATTAATTCAGTCAAATAGATTAACACTGATACCAGCGAAGAGATAGTTAATACTGAATGTTCCAAAGATTTCGCAATGAGAATATACTCGGTACATATAAATGTGCGCGAGCGTGTGATTGTACATACGTGTAATATAATACATGTATAAAGAGAGAGAGAGANGGGGGGGGGGGGGAGATTAGAAACATTCAATTGCTCGGTGTATTCTCGTCGTCTTGCTGATCGCTGGTCTCGGCCGCGGAAGGTATCGTGGCGAGTAATCTAACGGCCAGTCTACCGGGCGACCCTGGGGATTCCGGCTCCTGAATAGCGAGCTGACGGGTCAATCGCGGCTTCGGCCTAGTCGGTCTCGGCGTGTTGCGCGCGCTAATCTCTAAAGAGGCACTGGATCTCGAGATGCGCCAGGTACTGGTGCTGGCAGTGGTCGCAGAACCGGAGGAATCGTTGCGCGAGGAGCTCAGGTTCGAGTCCTGCGACGGTTTCCTGGTGATTAGCCAAGAGCTGGCCCTACGCTTCGGGTCGAGCAGCCTGAGCGGGATGCCGCAGTGGTGGGTCTGACGCCACGAGTCCGACCTGGACGAGGAGAAGTTCTCGCTCGAGGACACCGAGGACGCCCGTTTGTGCTGCTTCTCTTGGATCTGGGCGATCTGGTAGGCGTATTGGTCGTTCCGCGTGTGCCTTGGCCGGGGGTCGCGCGCGCACGGCCAAAAGATCCTGGCGCTCCACCAACGATAGGACGGACAGCGGTTTGCCTCCAGCAGCCTCGAGTTGCAGACGCACGGCGTCTGGAGGCCCTGGTTCTCCCGCGACGACCTGTCCACCAGGCTGTTTGTGTTGGCCGGGGTCTGCCGATTGCTAAAATTCGAGCTGTGCCGGCATCGGCCGATGCCGCGGGTCACGCGCGACTCTTCGATCGCCTTGCAGATCAGCACGCAGTCCTTCTTAAACTGTTTCGTAAGGATCGCGTATAAGAACGGGTTGCAGCAGGAGTTGAGTGGCAGCACGAACACCGCGAACACCTTCGCCTGCTCGAGGGACACCAGCTGCATACCGAAGGTCGCCGTGAGAGAGAAGAAGGCTATCGGCGACCAGCAGAGGAAATCTGTAAACACCAGTAGCGCCATTCTCTTCGCTATACGCGAGTCATTCGAGTTCCATGCCTGGGAGCCTCGTATCGCGCAGTACATCTTCAGGTAACAGCCCATTAGTATCAGGAAGGCTACCCCGTTGATCAGCATGAGAAATACTACGTATGCGAGCGCTGCGCTCCCGTTCGTCTCGAACGGTAAACAAATGGCGAATTTCCGGTAATCCGAGACCCCGAGCAGCGGCAAACTCGCCATCGACAGTGCAAAGCACCAACCTATCGTCATGATGTAGCCCGCGTGCTTCAGCGACAGCCGCTTGTTCAGGTGCATCGCGTGCGTTATTGCGTAATTCCTCTCCAAAGTGATGACGGCAAGCGTGTAGACACTCAATTCGGAGCTGAGGACACCCAAGAAACCAGCCAGTTGACAGCCAGCCGACATTTGCCATGGTATCGCGTACATTCGGAATTCCCCCAGCGTCGATGCATCTACGACGGCTAAAACGCCTGGAATGATAACGACACTTGTTGTTAGACTGCTGTTTAATTGTTTCATATGAATGTTTTGCGGAGTACGTTGATGCTCGTAAAATGATTTATCACATTCTGGGAACAATGAATCTCTCTAGATTTCCCGACAATCGAAAGAGCATAGTCACCCAATTTTTTTACTTATCCCGAATTCTCCCGAAAGCTAGCTTGACTTGACGCATCAAACGGCTGTATGAAGCTAATCGTGTGAAGAATCGATCTATCGCCAATCTGTTGTCAACAAATTACTCACTGGGAAGCTTCGTAGACCTTTCTTTTACAATTTATTGCCGCCTATTCACATGTTACATATGCAAAGTAATAATTGATATATTTGTTATATTTCCATCTATACAAAATGTAATTGCCAATAAAAAAGAAAAAAAAATTGAAAAGTGGCGACATGTTATTTTCCCGAGTCTTCAAGTCAATATGAAGAAAGGGAGAAAAGGATCATCACCTAGAAAGACACCCATGAAGAAGTCGGCAGCGGCTAAATTGCAAACCAGAAATCGCGGTACATCCATCTTACTTCGTGAAAATATCAAGACAAACACTACTGTGCCGTTCCCAAGCATGGCGAGAAGGAAGACTATCCACACGCCGCATCGTAAGGTCCACCAGTCGAATAAGTCTTGGCACGGTAGGAAAGGACCTGCAAATTTCAAGATGACCGGAGAATCTCAGTGATTTTGGTCAACGAGAGCCAACGACGTACCGGGTTGTGGCAGGCATTGGATACGGGAGGATATCGTCCGAGCTGTCGTCCGACTTTCTAACTCCTCGAAATAATCCTCTACGTAGGATGGTAGGTTTCCTGGATACGTAAAATCCGAACCAAAGTTAGCCCAAAGTTCATTTATTTGCGATCCAAATTTGTCGGTCAAGTTATCTAAAAAATATTTATCACTTCAGTGCTGCAAAGATCGAAACATGATAATGAGAGGTGACGGAATAGTGGACGAAGTAGTGAAAGACTTTCTTTCTCTTTTCGGATGATATTGCGCGACGCGATCAATATTTTTGCACGACGGGACTTTGCAGCAGTTAAGTGTTAAATAAAGCGCGAAGCGTACAAAGAAGTGCGGAATGCAAAATGCACACGACGAACTAATAGTTGGTGAATTTTTTCCGCTGGCGTGACAGGTCTAACGGACGTTCAGTTTGCTCACTGAGTGCGCATGCAGCTTTTCTGTCAATAATTGTGAAACTAGTTTTTCTGCTCCGTCAAAATGGAGCGTGATGTCAACAGAGAATCAAATTTTTTGTAAAACTCGGCAAGAACGAAATTCATGAGTGATGCGCTCATTGTACGTGAATTTATCGGCAAAAACAATGTTATTACTATAGACTACCCCTGTGACTTTCTTAAAATGCGGGAATATGTGGAAAACGCGAAGCTCCTGAAGGATCTATCAAAGCAAATGCAATATGCTGCTTTGAATACAATAGAAGAAGCGTTGGGCAAAGTATATTCTGTTAGAGGGAGAGTATTTTTCGTACAAAAATCATTGAAAATAGATTTTTGGTGAATCACAAACTTTTTGTCCACACCTGTGAGGATGACAGGAATTACTTACCCAACTGTGGCCAGATATCGCTGAAAGTCGAATTCCACAAGCTTGCGTCGAATTCATTGTCGGTGGGGAATAAAATCGATTCTCGTACCGCTGTCTTCGTGACAGACTCTTCCACCTCAATCGACAGAAACGAGCAGCAGTGATAAGCGTATGACAGCAACATCGTTTGCACTCGCGGAAATCTTTCGGGAGATGGGAATTCTCGCAGTGCAGGATTATTGAATGTCTTGAGGTGTAGCAAGCCTGCCAGACCTTTTATCGGCAGTGTGGGGAAAACGTTGTTTCCCAAATTTCTATGAACGCATATATTTATGTCTCAATTGGCCATAGTTATGCAAAACGGATCCACAAAATTTTAATTTTTGACATTTTCTTCCCAATATAGGTAATCTTTTTACATAAGACTCACAGGAGCTTAAAATTACCCTGGTGAAAAAAATACCTCCGAATTTTTTTATATTATTCTCAGAATTTCTATGAAAATTGCGTCACTTTCCTAGAATATTTCAGATTATTTATACAAATTGGAATGTTCGTGCCATTTTTTACCAATTGCATCTTTTTTATCAATTTTTAAAGTTTGACTCAATGAATACCCTTCAAGAGAAGAAGATAGACCATGTTTGAACGACTGTAAAAAACTGAGGTATCATATAAATTTTCATCTTCATTTTTCTCGAAACTTATTATCTCGAAAGTACCATTAATATTAATATTAATATACATATTAATTAGTTTCTTACATAATCATGGCCAATTACGCTCGACAGCTAATTTAGAAAATATAATTTAACACGTTCGCTACAGATCACTTTGATTTATGAAGGCTCCTGAGGTTTCGTCGCCATTTTGATTAATGATATCAGAAACGTATGCCCGAAATTCTTGCAAAATATGTTGAAATAAAAAGACATGTCCGTAAAGTGATACTTGTGATTGAGTGAGAGAGCACATATTTTTAAAGCATTCTTTTCTCTTACTTTAACGATCAATACATCGTAAAATTAACGTGACAGAAGCATGAGAAAAGATAGACTGGAAAAGAAAGTTTCATGCAATATCACGATTAACAGTTAGATCAAAAGGAAAGTTTGAGGAATATTTTCAAAATGTGATCAATCGATCAGAAGTATAATTTTATTTATATCTATTTATTTTAACGTATTTCGCAAAAATTACACATCCTCACGGGTCAATGTACTTTTTTTTACGTAATAATGTAAACAGACTTGATTTATGTAATATTATATTAATATTATATATAATTGATGCGCTACCAAGTAAAACAGACTTAATTTGTTTACGTGGAATAAAAAATTACTGCACACGTATGAGGTCGGTCTCTTGTGAGAGATCCGTGTGTTGCATATAAGTGACGCAGGTAACGAACGTGTTAAATCGCGAGCGTGGACACTCACAAGTCTTCCAATTGTTTCGTTTCTCTAAATGCATCAGGATGTATATACTTGATGTAATTGTTTTCCAAGTCTCTGAAACATGATCAACTGGAATATATGTACACGCTGGTATCATTGAAAACACACGATCAATAAATAGTGTCAGACTTACAAAACTTGAAGTCTAGATAGGCCGGTAAACGCATCGTTGGAAATGCTTTGCAAATTATTTTTGGACAGAAGAAGATCGTGCAACATACTTAAACCTTTAAAAGCATCGTCTGGTAATGTGGAAATCATATTGCTAGCTAAATTTCTGAAAAAAAAAGCGATGTTTGAATCATGCCTTCCGTTCATTTGCACATATTATATAGAGTATACAAAAAGTTCGGGAATCCCTTAATTGTTCCGAAAATGCGCATTTTAGTAAGACATACTTCGGACAAAAATTGTAACACATTTAATGGCGGTTTAATCCTTCGGACGTTACTAAAGTCAGTTTAACATAAATCAGTTTCTCCTTTTCAGATTACTAGATAGATTACTAGGTTATCATTATGTTATCCAAAGGACCTCTCCGAAGAGCTCATATTTGAGAGTAGGATGTCCGACAATACATTTTTAAAGTTAATATATTTTAACATTTAAAATATTTAAGTCGACCCGTCATTGGCAACGTCATCGAAAGTCAGATCAGAACACTACCATTAAATACTATTAAATTTAAACCTTACAACATTTGTCTGGAACATTTTTTTAATAAAATGAATGTTTTCCGAACTATTAAGGGCACTTTTCGTATACTCTATATAAGTTGTGTTCCCACTCAACGGGTAGAACAGCTTTTAATCGACCAATCAAGATAGAAAAAGATTTCCTTATCATAATTGGTTAATAAATGCTACTCTACCCGTCAAATAGGATTTTCGAATGGCTTATATATTCGCGTGTTATATTACATACTTACAAAACGCGGAGTTGATGGCAGTTTCGTAAATTTGGTATTTCTGTCAAATAATTGGACTTCATATCGCTAAAAACAGAGATAGGATGTACAAAAGAATTATATCGCATAAAATAATCACGATTGTCATTTAAACGATTCCCTGCTAGAAAAGAAACCATGTGGGAATCCATATAGGAAATCCATATATGGAATCCCATAGTTGTCTCTGGGGATTTGCACTAAAAACTCACGTCTTGGATAAGAATCTATGTATCTGTATGAATTTTCACAAATATGGATTCACATGAATTCCAATTTTCGTCTATCCAGCAAACAATTTAGTAGCAAATTGTTGCCAAATTAGTTCAATCAAATTCGCTCAAAACTTGTCGGCAAACTTTGGGTCTACAATAAGCTCGTGTTTTGCTAGTGAAGTTTGCGTATATAACCCGACGCTAAAATGGCGTTAAATAACGAGAAAAGCTTGATTTAACGAGCACCGAACTTACAAACTTTTGAGCTTCGGGCATTGTCGGCAAAGATTAGAAGGAACTTCCTTCAACTGGGAACGATCTAGTTTCAATATTTCCAAAGACGTTGCTCCATTTAGATTAGGAAAGAACCGCAGTTCTTTCATGTTTGATAGTATCCTGTAATTAATGAGAGGACATTACGCGTAATACACACTGCAATTGTGTTTATTGAGCGGATAATCACTTTTCGTGCACGAGTCTTAAATATGAGCGAAGAATGCACCGCGGCTGAAAGGTAAGTTACTTACAACTTACGAAGTTTCCTAAGATTCCGAAAGGTTTCATTGTGTATCACCTTAATAGGATTCCCGCGTAAATCAAGTGACACCAGGTTATAAGCATTGCGCAATGCATCTTCCGTGAGTTGTTCTATTCTATTATTCGATATAGACCTGCAGAGATACACGGAGATAATGAAGATATTATTCGTTGAACGTAACGTTAGGACTCGAGAAAGAAATATATTTACGGCTGGAAAAGTGTCTCAACGAAAGTCAATTCAGAGTAGGACGCAAAAATTGTTAATATTTTATAGTGAGCCTTCTTGCTACAAGCTTGACAAAATTTATCATTATTTTTATTTACAATGTCTCCATCATCACTGAATATCATTATATTTGTAAAACTTGCTTGCTCTCTTTAAGAGAAAAATACCTAAAAAGAAGAAAAATATTCACGGTGGATACTAATAACATAACATATTTACTAAATTCTTTTATTTAAGTGCAGAATAAGCAATTGCTTTTCTGCATGTTGACACTTTGGACATTTTCTTTAATCATCCACAGGTCGGACATATGTGACATTTTTTACTTATTTTAGTGTGTATAGATTCACCCCCTGAAATATGCATCTACGAATCATACCTCATATATTATAATACAAATAAATATGTTATGCATCCGAATAAACATTTTTAATTTTTCAGATATTTTTTCTCTCAATATAGAGACAAAGCTCACTGTAATTTGAGTACTCTACTGACGAACAAGAAGCCTTCGTGGCTTTGAACAAAATAATCACTTACAATTCTTCAAGACTTGGTAGATTTATAGCGGCAGCTGGTATATTTGTTAAATAATTTTCATCGAGTTCCCTGCGGAGATAAGGCGAATGAAAGATATCACATTACGAATAAACGACTTAGTTTCAGATACTTACAATATACGAAGAGTTGCTAAGTTTACGAACGCATTGTCGTGAATAGCTTGTAGGTGATTACGTCGAAGAAATCTAAAAGTAACGATGTATGTGACTAAACCGTAATATTTCCGGTTGACACTCGCCGAAAAAAATCATTGCGTGTATAAATGTACTTACAAAATTTCGAGATTGGAAAATCGATGGAAAGCACGTATTGGAATGTCCGTTATATTATTGTTGGTCAGATCACTGAAATAATTACGAATTTGATCAAAATAATTTATCAAAAACAACGGCAATGACTGGAAAATAAAAGCCACGGATAGCAAAAACACGTATCGTCATAAACAATGTCGAGTAACAAAGCATTCACCGTTCAATTTTTAATATCACGACAAATAATGTAACAGATATAAATAAAAATAACCTGATGGAAATATTATGCTGAAAATTTTATTGAAATTCCCTTTCAATTAGCCCCATTATCGTTAATGTATGCAATTTTCAGTTAAATTCAACAGCATACCCTAACTTTCTTTGTATATTATGAACTTGATGAAAAGTGATGAGATGAAAGTTAGTGAAAAATTATTGAAATACATAATAACAACAAATTTCAAAATAATTTTCATTATGAAATTCAATGTAATACCGTGAAATATAATGAAAATTAAAGTATAATTCTGAAAAATAATAAGAAAATTTTGGAAATATATCATAAAAGTTACTGAACTGAAAACTGCATATATTAATAAAATGGATTGAGAGAGTATTTCAGCAAAATATTTTCATCAGGTCGAAAACAGGTATGTATGTAATTTTTTCTTTGAACAAACGCGCAAGTTGTCACAATTGTAGTCGCGTTGAAATGATTAAATCGTTTCTCGCAAATCTAAGTCGGATCTTCGCTCCGAAATGAGGAGAGACACGTTTCACCGATTTGTGGAGGGCAACACTGGGAAAATGATGTTGGGGCGGGCAAAGGATCACCGAGCGATACCTTCTAAAAATAATTCTTTTACGAGAGATGACTGCAACAGACCGCACTCCGCTCGTGGCGAATTGTGTTCATGTGAGTGCAGGCGAAAATCAGACTGAGCAGATTCCAGCAGCAGTTTTATCTCGCCATTCAAAAAGTGAAGCTAATTAATGTAATTAAAATTCATATACGAATATACATTTCTCGGAACACAACATTTGGCTTGTGAAAATTATCGTGAAAATTACAATACGGATCTGAAAAGTTGTGCATGATGACAATACATTGTAAAATGATTTCATCGGCTACATAATTTTTACAATGTATAATATAATTCTTAGTAACGTGTATATCACATATTTGAAGTTCGTCATATTTACAATTTTTCTAGTAATTAATACTATAATGTCGATATAATTCAGCCATAGGAAAAAATATTTTATAATTTTACTACAATAATGTAATTTTTGTTACAATGTAATTTTAATTTTAACTATGTACAATGTTACAATATAATTTTAATTTTAAATATGCACTTGATATAATTTTTACTACTTATTTACTTTCTCCGTGTATATTTGGAATAAAAAATTAATTCTTCTCTCAACAATGTTACACGAAAGTTAAATTATTTACGACAGTGTATCACGAAGAGTCATAAATAAAACCCATCGCGGTTTTTATTTACGGCAATGCACGTTTTTATAGCTAAAATCAATGCCGCACATCAACGTCGTTAAAAATTACACTTCCGCGATATAACCCGAGAAATAAAAAGAAGTAGGACAGGAAAACGAGCGAATCAACATTTTTGTGCGCGAACCGAGAGAGGAATGGACCGAGAAGCTGTATGGATTGTGGCCCATTTTTATGAGTTCTTTGACCTCCTTTGCTCAGGATAGATCGATGTTTACTTTAATACGCTTTAGCAAACAGGACGAAAAAGCAGGGCGGTGTATCTTCCTTCTGTATAATAATAAGGGATGAAGAGAGTTTTGTGCCACCTAAAATATATATTTAGCCGCAATCGACTCATCAGATAATTAAGTAATAAAGGAGATGGTAAACAAAAACGTGCACAAAATTATTATAATTACGCAGGAGTAAAGTTTTCATCTCGCGACGATTAGATAACAAAAAAAAAAGAAACACATATTAAAATTAAGTTCGCGTCAGCAGATGGGGAACGGCGCTGAAAGAAAAATTAATTACAGCGCTGCGATAGGATTTTCAATATTATTTATTATTTCAAACGCGAGATACAAAGAAAATATAATTTCCTTTCTAATCATCTAAACAAAAAATAAAAAATAGATTGTTATAATATTTTGTAACCGGGAAAGATTTTGACATTTTACCTAATTATTTTCCGATTTTTATATTTTAAGAATTGAAGACTACCATAAAAGATTTACTTAGTAAAATAAACTTCACTGACAGTAAACAAACCAGGTTTAACTGAAGGGAATAATATTTCTAAGGATCAAATTCGATTATATTGGAACAAAGTTTCAAGTTTTTTAAGTTTTAGTTGGTCAAATAACTAGTATTTAATCACTGTAAATTCCTTAGTAATTCTCAATATTAAATTTCTGTAAGGAATGCTTGTTAAGGATGAGAAATTCTGTTTCCACCAATCAAATAATTTAATTTAATTTAAAAGCCGAATGGCTTCAATCGTCCTTTTCTCTGCGTATCTACTAAACACACACATATGTATCGCTGGTGAGTTTAATCGGCGATATTCTCGCGCATGAATTTGGGAACGTCGATCATGCAATAATTAATATGACTCGCTGACTCAGGATCACCAAATGCGATGCGCTCGGTCGCCTCGATGAACGGGCACGCGCGCGTGTAGTGTTTTTCCTTTCGCCCATTCCTTTTAAAATAGAAGAAGCGCGTCTTACCGTGGTACTTTCGCGCTCGCTTTTTTAAACGGGACTTTCTCGGTGCGTACGAAAAGTGGATTCTAATTACGTTTTCGGGACATGACAGGCGTTACAGGCGGACCTCTAAAAACTTTCATATTCAAGGACAGCTCAAATTCGTTACCCAACGAATGAATATGATATATTTTTAACATGATTGTATATGGATCTATCATACGTGCAGGAAAATAACAGAAAGATAAAAAATATTGATATCCTGGTAGAACAGAAAATAACGAGAAAATGACTGTAAGATTCCTCATCATTTTCACGTCGTTTCTTCCCCTTCCCGGGTTTATGCACTTTTTATGCGGCTTGAATCACTAGCGTTATATCCAGTATAAAATTTCATTCTGCATAATAACTATTGCGTGTAGTGCTACTGTGTATGGTGCATAAACCATGTTTTTGGGCAGCGATGTATAATCATGTCCTTATTGCTTCCTAAATTTCCTATGCTGACTAGGAATTGTTATATATTCTAGTCGGGCAAGACTAGAAATACCACTATGGTATTTTTACGGTTTATGAATATTTTCGAGGCGTAAATTCTCCGCGTATATGCAGACAAATTTCAGTCGTTTCAAGTTCACGAATTACTTTCACGATAGACGTCGCAACATCGTGTGAACGTGACAGGAATGACGAGTATGCACAGCGACGTACTTTTTGTGTTCGTGCAATATTAATGAAGAAACGTTCGAAGATGGCGTGTAATATCGCTGTACAAAAGAATCGATTAATAAATCGGACAATGCAATATCGTGAGACAACGAACGCTTTGAAGAAATTTTGTTTTCTCGCCGAATATCTTCTCTTTTCTGACACGTTCTGTAATCAACTGAAGTCGAATTCAATGGATTCCGCGATGATTTTCATTAATCGGCACTCCTTGTGACAAGAATTAATTAAATCTCAGGACGTTGCTTTAAAAACCAGCCGCGGGATACGTAGAGCCGAAGTTGAGACTAAGATCGTGTCTTTTTCCAGTTTTTAACATACTAATCGGGCAGATATACCCTTTTCTTTATGATCGTTGATCAGCCAATCAATCTCAAGTTTAGATAACTTCGTGGAGAAAAGTTCCAGATTTTATCCTCCGATGTTGCAAGAATACACCAATCGGAATTAGATCGACTTACAATTTCGTCTCAAGTTTTCGCTTGAAGATATCTTTATATATATACAGCGGCGTCTATTGTAAAACGAGCGCGTGACCGCGGATCGAACAGTTACATGCCCGTTCTCTTGATCCTAAATCACGATCACGGTATATCGTTTAGCTCAGTATGTGGGTCGCGTTATGCATAGTGTGCGTTGTTTTTATTTATCGCTCAATCGAGTATGTTTCCTTCTCTCTCCACCGCGGATCACCGCATTTATACGCACGAGCGTGCTGCGCGGGAGAGAGGAAAAGCTCGAAAAAGAAAAAATCTAGCCGACGAAAGAAAATTAGTTCCTCCCCAGAGTTATCCAAGGAATATCCTGTGGATGCCCTTAGGGACGCCTTCTGGACGTTCCTTAGATGTCTGTATGGGTTACTGCACATATATATTCCGCGAACTTTCGCGTACGTGTTCACTCATTGCGAAACGCAGCGTAACGCATTCGTCATGGATAATTCAGTTGCAGAATGTCTCTTTTCTCCGATAGAAGAGCCTCGCGACTAGAGCCGTATGTAGGACGCACGGCGGCGAATGTTCATTGCCAAGTTTACCTTCTAGAATCAATCGCGAATTTACATAGCCGGTTGTAAAATCGTTTTTTCCATCTGCGAGATGCGCAACAATTTGGGCGGAAAACGATCGCTCGATGGAGGAAAAAATTATGTAAAAACGATGATCGAAAGCGGGTTTTTGCAGTAATTTTCTCGTCACTCCGACGTTATCGTAATTTTTTGCTCTACTCGAGCGCAAAAATCCGCAGCGCTCGGGTCGTTTGTACATACAATCGGTGAGTTAGAGATCGTGCGATACTTTCTTTTCCTATGACTTTTTTTAACATGGGACAATTTGTTTCTTATTAATTTTCAGGAGATCCTATCAAATATGAGATGCGAAAAAAAGTCTTGTAATCGTTAGTTCGAATCTACAATATAGATACAGTGGGCTTCAAGCGCAATGACTACGGCAATCCGGTTTAATAACTACCGTAGTTAGCGGACTGCATTTAATTGGAATGTATATTTTAGATCTAAAAGGATACACCAATCAGATGCAAGAGTTCACGGTCGTTACTGGATATTAACATTGTAAGTCCACAATAGATGTAGTAAGCTTTTAGTTCTGAACAATAAAATATAATCTAATTTCTGATAACGCTTCAATCTTATAAATCGCAACATTTAGTAACGCTGGAAACACTTTTTGCTCGAAATCACGTTAGATTATTCCGAAGGAAAGGTTTGCTACGCTTGCCGTAGGATCGGCGGAAAAAGTCGTGTGAAATCACCTACTTTCGCGATTTGATCACGTGCGGCGCGAATTAACGTCTGTTGTGAAAGGCTGTACTTACATTTTCGTGACGTTATCCGAAACAACGGCTCGTAGCACATTGACGTCGTGAATCGGCCGTACGGAAAAGAGGCTCGCACCACGGCACAGCAGTTCCCGGCCGTCGGCGACGACGTTACATGCGTCCGGAGCGATACTCCGGCAGTAGCGGATCCGCCAAAGAAAGATGATCGCCAGAATGATCGCTCTTCCGTAGGCACAAAACCGTGTGCACATGCCGGCCGATCACGTACGCGTTATAATTCACTTTCACAGTTCTTCTCTCAGACCCCCACCCCCACCCCCGGGTTCGCCGCGCCCAGGACGAAGTCACTTCACTATCATTCTTCACGTCGCGGCGCCCATGCGTGCACGGGTGGATACGACGCGTGCACGCGCGCAACCACCAACGCAAACATCCCCATAAGGAGCTACGGCCGCCGTCACCATTCAAGGGGTGAACGGAGATGATGATGAGGAGAGCAGACGTCTGCGAGAGAGAGACGATCTCTCCTCCTGCTGCCCCCCCCCTCCCCCAAGAAAAGATACGTTTACAGCGCGGTACGTTCACCGACTGATCCGCGATGTTACAACGCCACGGTGCCTGTGCTTACTTTCGTATCCCTACCCCTGTGCGCGCACCCACCCTGGACCGACTACTTTCTCGTCCGCTGCCTGCTCCGCGACAACCGACCAGCGGACCCCCGTGTATATGCGGGAGTATATGTCGAAGACGTGTACCTCTCTCGGTGCTCTCGTTGCCGCGGTCGATAATCCTCGCGTCACTCTACGTCAGCTAACCCGCCGTGACCTCCCATGCCTCTCGTTTCCTTCTTGTCTTAAAGACAACGTTCCGAAAATGTTTGCGAATAGTCATTCTCGTGGTAATCGGACAGTTCCGATCTTGTCTCGCCGACACATGTATTCGGACAAAACTGCACAAAGGAGAAAAGGTTGATGAATTTGCACGAACAAACTGTTCCGCATGGAGGAAATATTGTAGTAAAAATTATTACAAAAGTTTATAATGCTGGAATATTGTAATGCCGGAATTATTATCGAAATTACTATGTATGTTGTAATCTTTAGTGATATATCACTCAAAATTACAATATATATCGTAATTTCGACGATAATTCCAACATTACAAATTGTTGTGCCGCAATATTTTTTCCGTGCAGGCAGAACGGGAAATCACGAGAACATTAAAATTACGAGAGAATGACTGTCGTCGAATTCGATTATCCGCACTATAGATCAGTGCACATAAAAAGCAGCTGCATATAACGTTTCTAAATGTAATTGTATATCAAGATGAAGTAATTAATACATATTCTGCTAAAGAAAATGACAATATCGCCCGCACACAGCAAAATATACCACACCAAGATATCTGGAAAATATCTGAATGTTTAAATATCAGATGATTGTCGAGATATGACGGAGATATTTGAAAGACGTCCGCAAGATATTAATACCGGCCACAGTCGTACGTTGCAAAGATATATTTTTCAAGGAAAATCGAATAATGATGTTTCCGCAGATATTCTGTGAATATATCTGAAAATAAGAAATATCTCAAATGCAATTTGAAATTGCAGGTATCAAGATATGTGATTATATCTCTGATATACTTTCCATTGTGGGCATGATTAAGCATCTAAATAGATATTGAGCGAACAAAACGAATGTAAACTTTCGTACTTAGTATTTGGGAAATATGTATGCCATAATAAATACGAATATAATGTTTCGATTTGTCTAGACAAGACATGCATGTATGTCTAAAAGACGTTTTTAAAACATTGTTTTTAAGACATTCTTGAGACTTTGTCGAAAAGGCGTCTTTATGATGTCTTTGAGACGTTTCAAGAAGACATTTCAAATTTTGTAAACCTTACATAGTCTATATGTATATAAATATGTGTGTGTGTGCGTGTTACCTACGGTAGAACATTAATAATATTAGTGATAGTGAAAATAAAAATAATAACAATAACAAGACAACAGCTATAAAAATATAATTATAAATGTATACAAAACTGCATGATTTATTTTACATATATAAAGAGGAAGAAGAAAGTTTTTGACAAATTTACTCCTCGTTAGTTACGGATAGACAGTACGTTTATATGTATAGAATAGTTTAATTATTATTACAAACATGCAATTTTTATTTTTTATTTTTACCGGGACTGATATTTCATACATATATACAATATATTCATAACAGTATATAAAGAGAGAAGAAAGATGCGCGCATGTTGAACGGAATATACATCTGATGCCGTGTTACTCATTCACGGAAATTACGGACGTAACACGCATCAAATGAAAACATTATCGGCAGTGCGAAAATGGATGCAGCGAAATAGTTCCAACGTCAAAAGTAAATGCAGATGGCGTATCAAACAGTCACGTGAAATGATATCAAGGAAAATGCTGGCGTGATCGTTTTCAAGTTTCTCGTTGATACAGGCCTTATTCTTTGTATTATTTATAAATTACAGAATAAAGAATAGGTGCTTGCCTCTATTTACTAACTGAAAATTAAATAATTATAAATTATTAAATGAAATAAATTTCATGTGCTAAAATTAGTGAATAAAAGTTTGCGTTGGAATATCATTGTTGTTTTCCACCATCTTCCTCACGAAGTAATGACAAGAAATTAATTAAAAAAAACCATACTTTCTATCATTTCGCACATATCGCATTTTAATTAAAAAATTTAATATTTGCCGTGTATTGCACCATTCTATGCAAATTGAGTTTAAACGTCCCTGAAATGCATTATCAGTTTCACGATACTTGGTTACGTGACCGACGAAAATAACATGTATGTGCGTCAATTGCTATTTTAGGTCATTGACAATTTCTATAAAATTTTAACCGACAGATTCTACGATTGAACGAAACTATAATTTTTATATTAGATTATTCATGCAAATATATATATATATATATATATATATATATATATATATATATATATATATATATATATATATATATATATATATATATATATATATATATATATATATATATATATATATATATATATATATATATATATATATATATATATATATATATATATATATATATATATATATATATATATATATATATATATATATATATATATATATATATATATATATATATATATATATATATATATATATATATATATATATATATATATATATATATATATATATATATATATATATATATATATATATATATATATATATATATATATATATATATATATATATATATATATATATATATATATATATATATATATATATATATATATATATATATATATATATATATATATATATATATATATATATATATATATATATATATATATATATATATATATATATATATATATATATATATATATATATATATATATATATATATATATATATATATATATATATATATATATATATATATATATATATATATATATATATATATATATATATAGTATGATAATGCATTTTTGCTGAATCAAAATTACAAAGTATAATTAAAAATACGACATATAATACGATATAATTAGTGTTAGCTCGCACAAACTTAATTGTACTTTATGCACAAATTTAATTGTTATTTATAATTATGCCAAGTGACACACAGAAAATAAGAAGTGTTATATAACTG